CGTAGCAATCTCTGTATTTGTTCTGTAAACGGGTTTTAATTTGGCTATTGAATGTTGGCATTTGGACATTTAATTATCTCTTGATATGTGTTAAAGGGCACACTGATTTGTATGTTAGCAGTGATCTATGTACATCTTACATAGGAGTATAATCATTATACTATACTCTTTTCAAAACAGGAAGATGTACGGTACAGCTACCCTGAACTATTTTTTTTAAATGCCTCATCATGGAGTTCTTCAGTTTTATAATACAACTTCCATATGATATCTTCATAGCTTTCTATTACCTGCACTTTTGATCTACGATGCTACCACAGATGAAACATGATACTATACGTAATAGTGCTACAATCTTGCAATCGATGACTAAGATCTCATTTTTCACTGTGGATGGTATAGTTCCATTCAAATTATTGGCTAAAAAACTATGTGATTCACAAAAAACCCGGCCACTACATCCACAGTTATGTACACATACACTACTAGAAAAAGGATTTTCGCAGGCGGCCCAAAACCATTTTCGCAGGCAGGGAGGAGGACCGCCGCTAACCCATCGACTGTGAAAATAGACCATTTTCGCAGGCGGGCCTAAAAAAAATAAAAACAAAACACGGGCGCTGCTGCCGGCCTCACCATGGAAGCCGCCGGCCAGGGAGGAGCCGAGCTGCTGCGTCGGCGCCGTCGTGGTCGTTGTCGCCCGTCGTGTTCGTCAGCGCCGTCGTCGTCGTCGTCGCTCGTCGTGGACGTGGGAGAGGAGGGAGCTGCCGGCGCGCGGACGTGGGGAGGAGGGGAGCCGGCGGCGCGCGGTCGTCGTCGTCGCCGAGGAGGGAGCCGGCCGGCGGCGGAGGTGGGAAGCCGGCGGCGCGCGGACGTTGGAGAGGAGGGAGCCGGCCGGCGGCGCGCGGACGTGGGGAGAGGAGGGGAGCTGGCGTCGCGGTTGTCATCGTCGCCGGCGCACGGAGGCGGCATCGCAGTCGTCGTCGTCGCCGGCGGCGGAGGTGGGGAGCCGAGGAGGGAGTCGGCCGCGGCGGACGTGGGGAGAGGAGGGGAGCCGGCGGCGCGAAGGTCGTCGTCGTGGCCGAGGGGAGCCGTCGGCACGTAGAGCCGGCGTCGCGGTCGTCGTCGTCGCCGAAGAGGGAGCCGGCAGCACATGGACGTTGGAGAGGAGGGAGCCGGCCGGTGGCGCGCGGACGTTGGGAGAGGAGGGGAGCCGGCGTCGCGGTCGTCGTTGTCGCCGGCGCGTGGAGGCGGCGTCGCGGTCGTCGTCGTCGCCAGCGGCGGGGGTGGGGAGCCGAGGATGGAGCCAGCCGCGGCGGAGGTGGGGGTGGAGAGGAGATTTTTTCTAAGTGAGAGAGAGAGAGAGAGAGAGGTGGGGAGGGAAATGAGTGGTGGAGAGGAGAGGTGAGGATAGGATAAGGATGGGGGAGGAGAGGATAAGGAGGTAGGTACTATTTTTGCAAGCGGACCACCTAACATGCGCCTGCGAAAATTGATTTTCGCAGGCGTCGCTTAAGTGGTCCGCCGCGCCGCTTAAGTGGTCCGTCTGCGAACAGCTAACTTCACCCCGATTTATATTTTTGTAGGCAGTCGTTTGGCTTCAAAGGTCATGTCCGACTGTGAAAATAATACCCCTACGTTGGGAAAAATGCTTTTTCTAGTAGTGATAACCAAAAGGTATGGAAAGAAGTACATAGACTCACCCAGAATATGGGGAGTTCAATATCAAATCAAACAAATGCTCACTCAAAAGGAAAGAAACAGAACTAAGCGTGAATCCTTCTCTTAAAATTCCAGCCATATGCAGCATAAAACTTCAGCACTCTTGATTCGAGGAGCTTGTAATAAGCCTTCACCATCTTGCCATCAACTTCACAACAGTGACAAGAGCCTTGCCCAATGTGCTACGCTGAAAATTACTTGCAAAAACGAGTTAAAATTGTAAGCAATAAAAACCACATTATTCCCACTCAGCCAAACCGTCCAACAAATTGCAGCTATACCCACAAAAATCAACTTTTGGATTCTTGGATTAAACCTATTTGACCAACTACCAAACATAAGAGCTATGCTGCTGGGTTGACGGATGCCAAAGGTAAAGTAGAATGAACTCCAGATGTGCCTCACAATGCAACAATAAAAAAAAAGAGGTGTTTCATAATCCATTATGAAAAAAACTAATACATAGTTTAATGCTAGTTAATGATAAGAGAGAGTTGCGGATTTGTTTCATTGATTTATGTCTTTTTATTTTAATAACAAAACAATGGCAGAAGCAGGAGACGTAAAATTCGATTATCTATTTTTTATTTTTTAATGACAAATTTAACATGAAAATGTTAAAAATGACCGAATTGTCACAATTTAAGAATAAAACTGTCTTAGCACTGGCCTGTTCCTACGAATGGGAAAAAAAATGAATGGTTCAGCAGAGACAGCGGGAATGTTATTCATTTGTGTCTAACAAAATGAGTTACACAAATTGTTGCCATATCCTACCCTGATCATTGGACAATTTCGACTGACAGACATAAATTTCTGACGGCGCCGCTCTGCTGACAGATATTATTTGCCCAAGCAAATCTTGCTCGGCCGAAGAGAAGATCACACCAGTCGCTACTGACATATCGCCATCTAATCAAGCCAATCTTTTTAAAGCAACGCAAAATGGGGCAAATCTGCCATGGATAACACCGCAATATCTTCCAGAACTTCCATCATTGGGCCATTGGACCAGCAGACCTGGAACAATCGATGGTTAGCACTTCGCAATTAGCAGATTGGTTAGTCATCAGTGTGGGAAGGTTGGGGTGTTGTGTGTTTGTGTGTGCAGCGTGCATGGTTGTTCAGATCCGAGTCACCTAATGGGGATTTCTTTTGCTGTTGCCTTCGGTTGGGCTTGCTTGCTCAGCTTAATGGGGAGCTCGGAGCTACCATTTGGAATGGACAATTTAGCTGCATGCTCTGGCCTTTGCAATTGTTTGCTTTGGGTTCATGGCAAAGGATCAAACAATAAGATTTGAGAAATTGAGAACCTTATTAACTATTTGACTGCCTCAATTTATTTGAGTTTGGGAAACAGTTTACTTGAACAAAATGGTAGTCTTTGTTTTTTTTTAAAAAAAAACATTTTCAGATGGTCGTTTCGCCCTTGCTGATTAGGAATATTCATTTTCAAACCAACGAAACCGGTTTTATTGAAATGAAGAAAAAGACAGTTTGGTGATTTATGAATTGATTGAAACCAGGAAAAACCACATCGACATATGTATGGACAAATGTCACAGATCAAAGTTTATAGTCACTTTCAGTTGATGAAAACCACACTTTCAAATTGAAATCAATCACTTTCTATCCAGCATATATTGCACTATCAGCTTGACAAATATCACATTCACCTAACAAACTATGCATGTTCATATTCAACATGATCAATTTGCTCATGTCTCCTAGCAAATCATGCATTCATTTAATTCAAAATGGAACACTTTAAACCGACAGAGGATCGTAATCACCTCTAATTAATGGTGTATCCCCACTCGTAGTTGCATTACTGAAGAAAAGGTTTATCAGATGTATAAGCAGAAACGACTGGAGTAGATTGGAAAGTTACATATTGAAATGCTCAATTTTTGCTACACTGATGACTGGTTAGTCATCCCTGGTTTTGTCAAATCTGGTTTACCTTACTTTTATTCGTAATTTCACGAAAGATCACTAGAATAAATTCATGTCAATAAGCAAACATATAATTCTGTATACTTTCTTCGTGGGATTAGAGAAAAATGCATAACACCAAAAATGGTTAGGTTATAATGATCTCATTTGTCCAGACAGCTTTAAGAAATTTAATTTTTGGCAAGCCAATATTTTCCAATCTATGTTGCAAACAATAAGACTACCGTATTCCAAAATTTAGAACAAATGAGATAGACAGCAAAAAGTCCATATTGTCCCCCTCTCCGCCCCCCGCCCCCCAAAAAAAACTATTTATGGCAGTACAAATTACCCCCCTCGATTCGAAAGCTATAAATTCTTCTTCATCAACTTTTCATACTAAACGAATTACCCCTCCTGCCGACTCTGAAAAGGTTTTCGTCATGCGTGGCACACACGTGACACTCCAGTCATCATAAAAAAAATAAAATATAGTGAGGGCCCACTTATCAGTTTTGCCTCTTCTCTCGGTCACCACATGTGGACCCTACTCTTTTTTATATTTTCTTATGCTGACTGGACTATAACATGTGCGCGATGTAGGACCAAAACTGCTTCAAAGACTATCACAGGATAATTCGTCCGGTATAAAAAGTTGGTGAAAATGTCTGGTTTTGAATTTTAGAGGGGGTGGGGGAACCACAATAGTTTAGGGGGTAATTCGGACTTTTCCCAAGATACATATTTTTAGCGAACATTAATTTAAATAATAAATGTTAATAATCAATTTAATCTTATATAATGGAGCCAAATAAGCCCATAATTTTTTGAAAATGAAGTATACATAAATTTATAATTCAAATTTTCTCAGGAAAATGGCAAATGCGGATACAATGTTTTTATCACGGCTTGAAAATGTACCGGAAGCATATCAAATGTCATGGTTTTCGGCCTATGCCGGTTCAAAATGTTAGAATTATGTTAAAATAAAAAAAATAGGACTCTGCAAAAATTAGACTAAATTGGATAAATCTTTTTTTTCTATTTGCTGTTTTCGGTGATTCGGTCGTTTCGGCCGGATCCCATTACAAACCCATTCGAATTTGCCATCCCTTCCTTTCAGTAGACCATCACCACCCCTACAATATACCCTATAACCAGAAAAAAGCCTCCCTCTAATTTCCTATTTGAGAAAGATCCCTCCTCTTCCCTCCATAAAAAAAAAATTCAAAAAGTTTGAAAGGGTCACAAACCCATAGAATACACACAAAATTACACAGCATCTGCCTTTATTTTTCTTTTTCTCCACTTGTCCCTCCCCCCTATATTTCTTCTACCCTGTCTGTCTGCCTATTCCCCCCTTCCCTCTCTCTCTATAGACAGACATCCCCGCACCGAGAAGAGAGGCGCGCGCCCCACTTTGTTCCGCGCCGCGACGCGCACTTCCCGCCTTTGCCGTCCTCGCGCCGGCACGCGCGCGCGCACGAACGCACGAACGCTCGCGTCGCGTCGCGGAGCTCGAGGCGTGTTCCCGCGGCAATGGCGCACGACGGGTTCCTCGGTGGTGGTGGCGGAAGCTTCCACGCGATGGCGGCGTGGCCGCTGCCGTTCGACGCCGCGGCCGCGCTGCACGGGGGAGGGTGGGACAGCGACCCGGCGCTCGGCGAGCTCGTGCCATCGCCGGTGGGGGTGGGGGTCGGGGGCGGGGTGCACAAGGCCGCGCTGATGGACGAGCTGGCGAGCAGGCTCGGCGGCGTGTGCGGCGGCGGGCTCGGGGGCGGCGGGGTGCCGTCGCCGCCGTCGTCGTCGCGGTACGCGTCGTGCTACAGCACGCCGGTGGGCTCGCCGTGCAAGCCCGCGCCGGCGCCGCCTGTGCCTTCCCTGCTCGCCGCGGCGGACGCCATGATCGCCGAGCGCGCCGCGCGGATGTCGTGCCTGGCGGCTGCCGGACACGGCGGCGGGAAGCTCTCACGCGCGGCGAGCAGCCAGTCCCTCCTCGCGGAGACGGCGGCGGCCGGTGGCGTCCACCAGCTACCGGCGAGCGACGGGTCGAGCAGCGACGCTCCTTGTCGGAAGCGGAAGGCGCCGTGCGCCAAGGCTAGAGGCAAGGACGCAGCGACGACCATTGCCAAGGTACTTCGTCTGCTCTCTGCTCCGCCTCTGCAATCGCGACGCCGAACCAGCCCTGAAACAATGGTGAATTTTCCACAGTCGCCGGAGCCGGGGACGAAGGCGAAGAAATGCAAGCTGTCCGCGGACGCCGCCGGAGACGAGGACACGAAGCCGGTCGCCGGCGACGCGGGACACGGCGGCAATGGCAAGGGAAAGGTCCTCGACGCCGCCGGCGAGCCACCCAAGGACTACATCCACGTGCGCGCTCGCCGCGGCCAGGCCACCGACAGCCACAGCCTCGCCGAGCGGGTAAAAGCCGCCGGCATCGATGCCGCCAATCATAATTTCTTTTTCTCTTCAATTCTCGCGTTTGCTGACGCCATTGCCGCCGTTTTTCACCTCCAGGTGAGGAGAGAAAAGATCAGCGAGCGCATGAAGCTGCTTCAAGACCTCGTTCCTGGCTGCAACAAGGTGGCAAAATTCAGCCAAAAAATAAATTTAAATTTCACGCTGGTAAAACATTTTTCACAGAGGAATTATTAATTTTTCGAGTTTGTGAAATTCAGGTGACAGGCAAGGCAGTGATGCTTGACGAGATCATAAACTACGTCCAGTCGTTGCAACGGCAAGTGGAGGTGCGTTGTCATGATCATCACCGACTTAATTTACAATAATTTCTGATTAATTCCTTTCAAATTTGTTAATTTGAGCAAGATTGTTTACTGTCCCAACAGTTCCTATCAATGAAGCTTTCCACCGTCAACCCGCAGCTGGATTTCGACGTCGACAACTTCATCCCAAAAGATGTAACAATCCAACCTGAATTCGCTCTGTCATTTAGTTAGTTGACCTTAGACCACCATATAATTCTGAAATTTTACTTACAAGTCTCTGAATTTTCAGCAGGCTAGTGATCCCATCATGCCCGCGCCGTTGTCGCTGCCACCGCCACCGCCACCGCTATCCTACTCACCGGAGGGCGCAAGCCCGGGGATCTGCTACGCGTCGTCGCAAGGGACAGCAATGCAGAGCGTGGTGACAAGCACCAAACACTTAGAAACGGCGCCAACATTTGCAAACCACCATGTCATCCCAGTTCCCTCACTTGATGGGTTTCACAGTGCTCATTCTCAGGTAAAATTGTACTACAACTCAAGCCACAGAAATGATCATACAGTGAAATCGCCGTCATTTTTCTCCGACCCACTGATCGTAAAACGCAAGAATTGTTGTGGCTGAATTTTTTTCAGGCAGGGAGCTGCATGTGGGAGGATGACCTGCAGAGCGTGGTTCAGATGGGGTTCAGGGGCAATACATGATAGATTAGATAGATAGATAAACAGATGAGAGCCCCCAATCATGGCCATGGTCTCTGAATTGATTCGGGGACAAATCAGTTTCACCAATCAAAGCCAGGAGACGGTCACCCGGGGAGGCATGTCGGGTGCTTGGAACACTTAACACGAGGGGGTTGGGTTTGAGCTACCTCCAACCCAATCATTGGATCATCCCTCCATGATTGTACATACAACCCCCCCACCTTCAATGTGGGGGAAGAAAATGGAAGAAGGAGAAGGGATAAAATGCCCTACTTGCCCATTGCCTCAGCTCAAAGATTTGTACCACGGCGAGGCCGAGGCGGAGGCGGAGGCGAAGGCAAAGGCGAAGACGAAAAAAGAAAAAGATTTAGTTTTCTTCATTTGCTCTTAGGAATTTTCATCCATCTCACAAAGGATGCAATATGTAATGTTGCAGTGGAATGTAATTGTTTCTAGACTTCAACTTGGGATTTGAATATAATTATGAGAGAAGTTTCTTGCATTTGGTTGCTACTGTAGGCTTTGTGCCGGTAGGTGGAATTGTTTTGTTCTCTGCGTTATCATCGCCATTATCATCATCACGGAGTCTTTTAAGCCGTGTGAGCTGGAGTCAACAACTCTAGGCAGAATCTTAACCTCTTTTAGTGTCTTGCTTGTTTGTATGATTGCATTCTTAATCTCATCTAGTGAGCCCTAGACAACTAATCTTTAGGATAGAATTGTTGTGTGTGCCCTTTATTCTGCAAAGCACCAAAACTGCTGGCACGGCAGAAAGGTCCTTTGGGCGCATGATTTGAGCCGAACTGACATGATTTGCGGGAGTTTCATATTGGCAAATGTCTTGGGCTCCTGTCTTGTCAGCAAAATTCTTTCTTAGGTTTGGTCTACCTAAAAAAAAACCTTACAATATAGAACAACAAAAGAAAATCACATTTTTGTCCAATAATTTAATGTACATGTGTATTGCCTCTTTCAGTCAACCAATCAGGCTGATAGAAATGTAATTTACAATTGTTTTTATCCTTTTTATAAAAGATACCGTTTATTATTGGCCTTTTATTCCACGGACTATTTTCTAATGCTCTAACATTGGTCAGGTTCAGTTAACCAAAGGAACTGAAAAAAAAAATACTAAACCCCATATAAAAATAAGGTTTGCTGTCCTGTAGACACCTCTTTAACCAGACAAGGAAGAGAAGAGAAACCCCAAAAACAAAAGGGAAGGTAGGTATTGGGTTACAGAGTGGACAAGATTCCATCCAGCATAGAAGCATCTGTTGCAGAGTACTACTGCCTCTTCTTCTACCTCTCCTTTAGTCATATACAAAACCTGTGATAAACTTTTGGCATCTACTATGGTCCTTCCTGGCCTCCCACCAGAAAATAAACTTAATTCTGGTACTTTGCACAGCCAGGTGTATATATATACAAAAATAAAACAATATCAGAGGCTTTTTTACTTTGTCTCAAAGTGGCCACTCTACCGCTAGATGGCATGGCAGGTATCTAGTCATTGTCAATACTGTTCCATTGGGAGGACAACTTACAAGATTGCACCCTCCCTAGTGATGGAGACACAAGTGCTACCCAATTATCATGACGCCTACAAGGGTCCATTTTGATCAAGGAAAAAACACTGCAATGAAAGGCCATGCCTAAACACACATTTAGACCTCTTAATTGACAAGGTTTCTCCTGTGGAAGCACATTCGGTGCGGTGATAGAGTTAACCCATTCGTGACACTCTCGTGCATTTATGCACACGCTAGTTTGCTTTAATATTTATTTTTGTGAGGTCCACAAACATATCATTGGCTTTTCAGTTGTTGATTGTGTGTTGAGGAAGTCGGTGTGTGCATGTATATGCCCTATGTGCATGTATCAAAAATTGATGGACCACATTTCTCTCCAAGATTCACAATAGTCGAACCATGAAAACACTTTGAAAGGGCTTGATAAATTCGGGGGAGGATGTAGAACAAAATGGAGAGGTACTAGTCGCTTGCTTTACTAAGTTTTGGACCAAATTTATATTGATCTGGGTGTCCAAGTTTCAATTGAGTGGTGCACATATGAACTAAGCTAACAATATTTTTGACCGGGTTCATAGGAACCCTCTCAATTTTGTAGCTCCACTCTCAATTATTATGTATTTCTTTGTTACTAAAAAAAATGGATAAGTACCTTGCAAATAAAAATGTACATCTTTGGTGCTGAATGGATTTTTCACTTATTGGTTTGGAGGATACATGAAAGCTAGTTTTCATGGTGATGCCATTTTAATCAAGTAGATGGATCCCAATCCCTTTATGGGGCATCATTGTCACATTCACGCAGTGGGCACTCCTGGGACCGAGACATGCGCAACAAACTCTAATAGAGGCACAATTGGAGCTTTTCGTGATGTAAGTTGGATCTTATGATGGTGGCTCAGACCAGATATGGAATCATCTGAAATGACTTTGACCCACGGAGACTAATATCACCATCCATTCATCAAATTTTGATATCTGAATTCATGTTTGTTGGGAATAGTCCCACATTGAAAGTTTAGAGGAGTGGCACCAACTTAAAAGGGGAGGGGTCCCTCACCTCATGAGCTAGCTTTTGGGGTGTAGAAAGGCTTTCTCCCGGTTGGGCCAACGTCTCCCGGTTTTTGGCCAACAAGTGGTATCAGAGCTGGGCCCACAATCTCTCTAAGTGCCGTGCACACTCGTGTGGTGTAAGCCCGAAGCCCAGTGGACCGCGGGTGTGAGGCCCGTATGTGCCTATGTGTTGGGCCGGTTAGTGGACCGCGGGTGTGAGGCCTGTATGTGCTCGTGTGTGTAGCCCGGTTAGGGCTAAGGGGCACTAATGTGTGACGGGGGAGATTGTTGGGAATAGTCCCACATTGAAAGTTTAGGGGGAGTGGCACCAACTTAAAAGGGGAGGGGTCCCTCACCTCATGAGCTAGCTTTTGTATAAATTCCATAGGAGTATTAATTACTCGACATGCCATTGTCAGGAATTTTTCCAGAATTCTAACAGCAGATTATTCGTTGATTCTGAATCGGACAGACAAAATGTAAAGAAGTTGTATTCCCTGACAATGGTAAAGCAACACTTCTATTCAAGCAACCGAAGAGGGTCATCCGAATATTATTATGATTGAAGAAAAAAGCAAATGTTACAAGAAAGTTTTACATACAAAACAACACTTTTTCTCTCGCAAGTTTGAACTGAATTGCTGCAGCAACTCTGCGTGTCGCGACTCAGCGTATGCATTGCTTGATTCCAAATGATCCATTCAATGCCATGTTCATGTCAGCATAGTGTACAGATGCTGTTAGGTCGGCCATAGTACTCTACGCAGTACACATAATCATATACATAGGCTTGTCTTCTTCCTCCTCCGTAATATATACAATACGCCGATGAATTTTGTTTCTTTTGTTTTCAATGACAGCGCCATGCATGCAGTCGGTGTCTTCAGTGCCTCGGTATATTATTTTACTGACTTATCTGAATTCTGCAGATATGCTATCAGCACGGATTTTACTACAATTTGGGTCCAGGGGACGCCAGATTCGCCAGCCAAACGTCGCCATCGAAATCCAGGAGCATGGTGCATTGTACTGCTCGATGTCCAATTAAGTCGTTTTCCTCCTCATCTCCCTTGTCAGCATGTATTGTGATCTTAATTTTCTCCTTTGCTCTATCTGTTGCAAGCTTTCCGAATATTGACTGATCTAGGCGGTGCGTTTCTGCCGCTTGGATATTGCAATATCCAATTTTGCATTAGTTCGTATAAAGATTCAGAAATTAGATATTCATCTTGCGGTACGTTTTACAATAATCGTTAGATTTCATTTTCCTATCTTACTACCTCCGTCCCATAACATAAAAGTTTTTTTTTTTTTTGCCCTTATAGTTATATAGGCAAAATCTCTTATATTATGGGACAGATTACTTAATAATCGAAAATCATAAGACATAGGTAAACACATGTTATTGCCGATCGATTCCACCCATCGAATCCCAGATCCATGAGCGTCTCCCTTCAGAAAAGCTGCGTGTTTTCCATTCTTCACTGCAATAGCCGTTTCCTTGCATCAAATACAAACATCATATGTTCTTTATATCAATCATGAGTTTTTTTTTATTATTTGTTATAGGTAGGATCAATGGTAACATAATTAGAAAGAAATAGAATCTTTGCAGAATAAAAATCAGCCCAAGTAAACAAGACCAAAAGAAAACAGTGCATTCTATCTTAAACATCATTTGTCTATCCGCAGAGCGTCTTACAAAATTACTCTGCCCTTCTAGCGTTTGTGTTCTTATAACCTCCAACACTACATAGTCCTTCAATTAATCCATCTAGAATTGTCTTACTTCCTCCGTCCTAAAATATAACCATTTTTTAGGTAGGTGCAGATATTAATAAAGTAGGTAGAGATGATTGGAGAAATATTGCGATTGGTGGAGAAGAGAAAGTAGGTGTAGATAATGGTTGTGATTGGTTGAGATAAAAGGATAGGTAGAAAAATAACTTCATTTTGGAACAAATTACTGTGCTAAAAATAGCTACATTTTGAGACGGAGGTAGTACACATCTATTTTAACTACGTTAATCCTCAAATTTGACTATAAGGGATTAGGATTTCCTCAAATATTTATTTCTACTATTTGTCCATTCTTCTTAAACATGAACTGCATCCAAATTTAACTATTTCTATTTAAAAAATCAACTTCATCTGCACCAAGCAACACCTGCACATAAACACTAGCAAAACCATATACCAATCATAAGTTTTTTTCCCAACTTGACTACAATTAGAACAATAACAGTACATGCATCTTACATACACAACTAAGTTATCATAATGCCCACCAAACAACATTTAACAAAATCATTGGCAATTATGTAAAGAAAAATAAAAGCTCTCCCACTTAGCGAAAGGAATAAAAAACCTCTAAGTTAAAACAAACACTCCCATGCTTAGCGAAAGAAAAGAATTTATCCGCCCCCTCACAAAAATCAACCCCTTTTCAAAAACTTGTGCAAACATTAAATGTTTCGTATTGATTATCCTTCAGAAAATTCCTTAAGTGCACATGAGTTCTGACTCAATCCATTGTATGCCATTTTTTTTCTCATCCCTGTCATGCCCAGTGTTTTTTTTAATTTTTATCCTCTCTATACACCTTCACTTAGTTGATCGTGCGTTGACAGTTGCTTATATGATACTATCTGAAAAACATAAATCTCAATTCCAAATGTTTTCGTCTATAATAAAATTTGAATGGGATAGAATTATTTGATTCCAAATTTGAAAACAAAACGTTAATTTTCAACCAAGTTTTAGAAAATCATTAAATCCATACAAGAGTTTCACTGAGAAACTAAAAACCAAAACTATTTTTTTTAGTTTAAATTTTGGTGAACAATTTGTAAAAATTCAAAAAAAATTGATCTGAATTTGTTTAAAATTTAAAATTTTATTTTTAAAATTTTTGGTC